GCAGTGGCTGAAATTTTCTACTAATTGTAGCCATAATTTTAGCATGCAATTAAACATATGATGTCTTTCCCAGCTGATATTTTTTTAGCTTTCTGACATGGATAAAACAAAAGCTTTGTAGATTTGAATGGCCATTTTAACCTGATAGGAGATCATGGAAAATCACCATTATTTGAGCACATTTGGTTACCCAGTAGGAAATAGATTAATCTTGCCTATAAAAATAGAAAACAGCATGGGTGCTTTTGATAGTTTTCAATACTGCTGTCTGTGCTCTGAGGAAACCAAGAGTTGCTGTGTAAGGCCTTCCGTAAGGTTAAAGATCATTTGAAGGAGTGATACTAGGTGGGGAAGAATCAGAGGTGGAAACTGTATGGTTGTGGTGGTGGCAACAGAGGCTCACAGAGGTCACCTCACACTGTGGTAGATCTGGTGTTGGAGGGACCCCAGGACCTGAGAGCAGAGCCACTCTAGGTTTCAGGCTGCCTTGCTCCAGGCTGGTGTATCCATTTACTGATTTTCTCTTGCTTGGCCTCTCCCAGAGGGTCATTCATATCATAAAGGATGTTCCCCCTGAAATAAGGGCTACCTGCCTAGGAAAGTTTGGGAACTACCAGAGCAAAGAAATTAAATAGGTTTTTCTACTTCACGGTGTCTTGAGAGCCTGCTGTATGCTGCTGTACCTCACATTCTAGAAGGGAGAGTTCAAACAAGTATGGTTTTCAGAAGTATATGACTGTGGCATTCTTTATTCAAGGAAGACCTGGCAGAACCATTTGGGAAGTGTTGCTGTGGTTGTGTGAAGCCTCTTGAGCATGACTTTTTATAATAAGGGCAAACACTGATTTTTCACACACTATGTCCTAGCCATTGTCCCAAGCACTTCCATGTATGGTTTCATTAGATTTTCACCATGATATAGGTCCTCTTGTTAGTATTACTGTTATGTAGGCAAGAAACTGAGCCATTGGGAGGTTAATAAACTTGCTCAAGGCCTCAGAGCTGGTAAGGGGCTAGGCCTGCTCTGTTTTCCATCCTGAGCCCTGATTGCCCTTCAAGCTTTGGACCTCTGTAGGTTCAGCTGAGAAGCCTTTCTGATTTTCTTCTCAACCCCAAAGTAGGGACTTTACCCTTTTCTGGCCTCAGGGCCAAAACCCCTCAGGGTTCACATGCAGTACTATGTCATTGTCATGATGTACCCATCCATACTCCACACTAGACCACAGGGTTCATGAGTGTCCTTCTGTCTGTGCCTTTGAGTCGGGTCTTCAGTCTTTAGCACAGTTGCTGTGAGTGAAAAGCAGTGAGTGATTCTTAAATGTGGACTTGATCTCATAAGCTCTCTTTGCTCTTTAATGGTGGGTGGGAGCAGACTGTTCTTGGTGATTCTTGGTTTCTGAGGATTCATACTAACTGTACTCTGTGGACCCAATTTTTTAAAAAATCATATTGTATTAATTATGCTATTACAGTTGTCCAGTTTTTCCCTTTTGCCACCTCCACCCATCACCCCTCACTCCCTCAGGCAATCCTCACACCATTGTTCATGTCCATGGGCATGCATATAAGTTCTTTGGCTACTCCATTTCCTATACTGTCCTTTACAACTCCATGGCTACTCTGTAATTACCTATTTGTACTTCTTAATCCCCTCATCTCTTTACCCATTATTCCACACCCCTCTCCTTTCTGGCAACCATTAAAACTTTCTCCATATCCATGACTCTGTCTCTGTTCTTGTTTACTTAGTTTGTTTTTTAGATTCAATTGTTGATAGATATGTATTTATTACCATATTATTTTTCATAACTTTGATGTTCTTTTTCTTAAAAAAGTCCCTTTAACATTTCATATAACAACGATTTGGTGATAATGAACTCCTTTAGTTATTTCTTGTCTGGGAAGCTCTTTATCTGCTCTTCCATTCTAAATGAGAGCTTTGCTGGGTAGAGCAATCTTGTCTGTAGGTCTCTGCTTTTCATGACTTTGAATATTTCTTGGCAATCCTTTCTAGCCTGCAAAGTTTCTTTTGAGAAATCAGCTGACAGTTTTATGGGAACTCCCCTGTAGGTAACTAACTTCTTTTCTCTTGCTGCTTTTAAGATTCTCTCCTTATCTTTAACCTTTGGCATTTTAATTAAAATGTATCTTGGAGTGGGCTTCTTTGCATTGGGATTCTCTGTTTTCTGGATTTGCATGTCTATTTCCTTCACCAAATTAGCGAAATTTTCTTTCATTATTTTTTCCAATAGATTTCTAATATCCTGTTCTTTCTCCTCTCCTTCTGGCACCCCTATGATGTGAATTTTAGACTTCTTGAAGTTGTCCCAGAGCCTGCATATACTATCCCTTACACTACGCTCATTGTTTTGGATTTTTCTTTCATTCTTATTGGTGGTTTTTTGCTTCCTTATGTTCCAAATCATTGATTTGATTCTCAGCTTCATCTACTCTACTATTGTTTCCTGTAGACTTTTCTTTATTTCAGTTAGTGTATCCTTTATTTCTCACTAGATCTTTTTTATGCTGTTGAGGTCCTCACTAAGTGCCTTGAGCATCCTTATAAACAGTGTTTTGAACTCTTCATTTGATAGATTATTTATCTCTACTTTCTTTAGTTCTTTTTCTGGAGTTTTGATCTGCTCATTCGTTTGGGCTGTGTTTCTTTGTCTCCTTGTTTTGGCAGCCTTCCTGTGTTTGTTTCTATGTATGAGGAAGAGCTGCTTTGACTCCATGTCTTGGTAGTGTAGCCTAATGTAGTAGGTATCCTTTAGGGTCCAGTGGCACAGCCTCCCCTATCACCCAAGCTGGGTACTCAAGATGTGCCCATTGTGTAGACTAAGTACACCCTTCTCTTGTAGTTGAGCCTTGATTGTTGTTGGCAGGTGAATGGGAGAGATTTACCCAGACCAGTCAGCTGCAAGGACTGGCTATGACCACTAACCACCAACCTCTGCCCTTTGTGGAGGATCGTCTGTGCAGGGGCAGGGTGGTGGTACTCCAATGTGGTCTATAGCTATCCACTGGGTTCACAGGCTTTGGGGTTTGCTGAGTGGTATAGGCCAAGGTCAGCCTCCATTGTATTTTGCCTGGGGCCAACTTGCCTGAACAATAAAGCAATCTGAGATGGCTGCAACTTGTGTTGGGCTTGGTGATTCCTAGGTGAAGCCAAGCTGTGAATCTTGGCTGTTTGCTGCTAATGCCAGGTCTGGGGCCACTTAGCAAGAGGTATGGGGGGCTGGGGCTCACTGAGTCTGGCTGTTGCTTGAGAGGCTTTAGGAAATTGTGAAGCATGAGCCAAGATCAGCCATTCACATGAAAAGGCAGCTTGGGTGGGCCCATACCAACTTTTTTCTTAATTTCGGATTCATCAGAGGTGGTATGCAAGTAACCCTCCCTACTTGTCAAAAACGGTGTGTTCCCTACTGTAAGCATCCATGTGTATCATCAGCGGTGTTTAGGCCCAGCACTTAACAGAGATCCTTGGATGGACAGAGTTGATACTCTGATTATTCTGTGACATCATCTCTCAAAGTATATTTGTTTAAAAGGTAGCTCAGCCTTTGGGGATTGATCAGATACAATTGAGTGGGTCTGAATATTAAGACAAAGAGGTGGGAATAGGACACACAGAGGTACTCTTTTTGGAGCAGTCTAAAGCCATTTTGACAGGGCATTTGCTGGGAACAGGATGATTCTGCTGCCTCAGTGGGGTGAGGAGGGAATGTGAGGCAGGAGGAGCTGAGTAGCCCCAGCTCTGAGCAGTTCTGTCCTGTGAAGATTGAGGTGTCTCCTCAGTTCTCTGCCCTGAGGTGCCATCTTTAGATTGACCAGACTTTTGACCCCACAGTTGTGGAGGAGGATCACCTTTCTACCTTACACTATGTGGGCCTGTGGGCCAATTACATGGCAGTTTTTGAGAGCATTTTTGGGGAAGCTCCTGAGCTTTCTTTTCCTTTATACTTAAATTGTTAAAAAATATGGAACATACAGAAAATAGAAAACTGTGTACTCACTACCTAGTTGGTTCCATTTACTTTAGATCCGTCTCAAATTCTACCACTTCCTGCCTTCTTTTCAGTATATGTGTTGCTACTATCCAGTTTTTGCATTCATTTTTCCTGCCAATGTTTTTTTGATACACACAAATACAAACGTATGTGGATGTATATCCATAAATAATATAACTTGCTTTTGATGTTTAGAAACATAAATGATACAATGATGTGTCCTTTTTACAAATTATTTTTTAAAGATTGCATTGTTTTTGAGGTTTGCCATGTTGAGAGATGTGGTTGCCTCACAATATTCCATGGAGGATTAAGGTGGTGTTTATGCATTCATTCCCCCACTGAGGGGGCTGTCAGATTGTATCCACTTTTTTTTTTTTTAAGATTTTATTTATTTATTTTTAGAGAGGGAAGGGAGGGAGAAAGAGAGAGAGAGAGAAACATCAATGTGCGGTTGCTGGGGGTCATGGCCTGTAACCCAGGCATGTGCCCTGACTGGGAATCGAACCTGCGATGCCTTGGTTCGCAGCCCGCGCTCAATCCACTGAGCTACGCCAACCAGGGCCCACTTTTTTTTTTTTTAAATAAACACTGCCAGAGTGAACCTTTGAATGTTTCCTTATGTAAAGAGATTCTAGAGCAGAGTCCCCAAAGTAGAATTCCAAGATTGTAGGAATTGTTCATCTTGAACTTGACTGATACAGCACCAAAAAGCCCTCCCAAATGGTTATACCAATTTACTCTCCTGCCATTTTACAGTCCTCTTAACCCATATTCCCCCCACCCCCTTCTTGTTACCAGATCTTTTCATTCTTGCCAAGCCTGTAGGGTGTGTGGCAGCACCTCTGTTTAATTTTGTATTTCCCTCACTACTGGTGGGGTGGACCATTTGTACTCCCCAGGTTTCTGCTTACACTGATACAGGTGTGCTTTTTAGATGGGGTAATCTGGGGTCTCCATTTCTTATAACTGTTTAAATTGCTTTTTCAGACGGCAAGTTTGGTGCATACATGCAAGTCCACATTCAGAACGATGGGCCTGTGACCATAGAACTGGAATCCCCAGCTCCTAGTGCTGCTACGTCTGACCCAAAGCAGGTAAGTCTGTTCCCTAGATGCTTGTAACATCTTTTGGCTTTAATTTAATCCCTGGAGCACCTCTGAATCTGTGGTGGACAAAACAGTTCATTGCAGTAACCTAATATTTATTTATACCCTAGCTCCTTAGTGCTGTGGCAGGCAGGCACAGCACTTCTCCCTTATCTTCTCCTGACTTTGGATCCCAAAGAAAATAAATGCCCTTTGTAGAGAACCCAGTTCTTTCTCTGGGCTCTTCTTGGTGAGGAGCTATGGCACCCACACACCACTGGGTGGCAGCAGAATAATGGCACAACTCTTCTTGCCCCTGGACTGGTCTATTCACCCATTTGGAATAGTAACCTCGAGTGGATTTTATCCCAGGTGTAAGCAAGCAGATGTGTCACCCAAGGTTCTTTATAAAACCTCATTTTTCTAAAGCAATATCTGACCAGGATTTGCTGCAAACGTTGTAAGCTTTCACAAAAAATTTGAATTAAAAAAGAGAAAGGAAACCTGTTGATAGTCCTTGTAACCTGTGTGCTCTCATAGCTGTTAAGCATTTATAAAGGCTTCAATGAACATATCCACTTAATAGCTTTCCAGACACGGGGGAAGGGACAGGCAGAGAAATGAAAAATGAAGAGACATTCTCTTCTTCCTTGCTTCCCTTGCTAAGATGCTGTGAGGCAGAATGATGCAGTAGGTGTGGGGAGGTATTATAAAAACTTAAGGCTATATGACTTGTTCAGAGTTATAATTTCCAGTGGGAGCATTACCTTTTTGTTACTGATTCTTTGGATTAATAGAGAAGCAGGAACATGTTTGATACAGTGGTGCTAGACTTCAAAGGTGATAATCGAGGTTCCTAGAATTACTGATAACATGAAAGAAATCACAAATAAAAAATCCACATGAAAATTTAAACTTTTTATATTGAAATAATTTGAGACTTACAGAAAAGTTGAAAAAGGAGTCATGTACCCATATACTCTTTACCCAGCTTCCCCAAATATTGCTGTCTTTCATAATCATAGTACACTTGTCAAAACATTGAAATAGTATTGATACGATACTCTTAACTACACAACAAACCTTATTTAAACAGTTCTTCTGCCTTTCCTTTTCGTTCATGACCTAGACACTTTTTAAGAGTACTGTTTCTCATTTTGGGTTTTCTATGATTATTACAGAACAAAGGGCCAAGTGGGGTAACTATTACCAAAAGGAACCCTCTTAAGTTTGTTATGTCTGCTGCCTTACAGGAAAAACATCTCTCAATGCCAGAGATTTGTGAAAAGGAAAGGAAATGCTTATTTAATGCTGTACAGACTTAAAGTACTGGCCTAATATCTTCATCCAAATCCCAAAGTCCCTTAAAACACCCACAAACACACACAGTCCTTCCTTCCCCTCTTTGCCCAGTCTGGGGTACCATATCTCAGGGAAAGAAATAGAAGTCTGTGGCTCAGGCAGCTCCCCGTTCTTCCCAGTAATCCATGCTCGGCTGGTAGGCCTCCCTCAGTTCCCAGCACCATCAGCTGTTTTGCTGGGATCTCCAGCTAAAGCTGCGTGGTGGTTCTTCTCATGGCTGGGGTTGGGGGGAGTCCCTCCCACTCTGGCCAAAGCCACGTGGTTCTCCTCACTGCCACAGCCACATAGTCCTCCTTACAGGGCTACAGCCACATGGTCCTCTCTCCAATGGCTGCTGAATCTGGGTTTAAATATTCTTCCAGCTTTACTGGGCTGCCATCATGAGTCTGCGCAGGGGTGGCCCCATGTCGTGGAGCCAATCATCTCCCAGCTCTTACGCAGGGGCTATAACTAGGGGGAGTTGCCTCCCAGTTACATCTTGGGGGGAAGTTCCTTCCATGCTCCTGGCTCAGAGCATGGCCACAACTATTTAACATATCTATGCAGCCAATGAAGGTTATAGATGTGTTAAATGACCATGCCAGAGGTTAGCTGCAAAGCTGTTGCTATGCAAAACAGCTCTCAATGGCCCTGCTCCATGTGTCCCTTCCCCCAACTCACACCTGTGTTGGAGGGTGAGGACATCCTATATATCTTTCTAATATTTCCTGGACACCTTGAGTTCTGAACCCCATTACAAATCCTTCTTTTGGGGACCCTCTGGCTGCACCCTCCTACACTACCTCTGGGCTTTGGTCTCAGTGTCAGTGTCTCTGCCTCAGAGGAGATACTCTGACCGACTCCCTTGATCCCAATTAAGGTCCTGCCAGCTACTCTGTTATATTGCTCTGATTTGTTTCACAGCACTTAGCACCATCTGTTATCTACTTGTTTCTTTGTTCCTTATCTGTCCACACCATTCATAAAATTTAAGCTTCCTGAGTCTTGTCCACTGCTGTGCCCTCCCCAGGAGGTAAGTCTGGTGTAGTTAGTTTTGGAATTGTGTGTCATGGTCCTGTGAACTGTGACATCTGTGAATGTTGTGAGTTCTGGGAAGGCTGATGCCACTGCTGTCACTGCTGAGTTGGATAGGCCTCCCAGGGCACTGGAGGTTTTAGTTGACCTTTAAGGATACAGAAGAGAGGAGGCATTCTCAGTTGTTGTTTCCAAGCTTGTACTGCAAATAGGAATAGATTTTTATTTGTAAGAGTCCCAGAGCTCTGTTTCTGGGTGGTGCAGCTACTGCTGGTAAAAGCTGGGCTGGTAAAGGTAACTATTTGTTTGCCTGACTTAACCGCATATCTCTTTTCAGAACTGACCACTGAAGTCTATGCCTGTTTTCCCATGGCTGCATCAGCACTATGTCCAGTGCATTTATAGGCTGCTCTGTGGGTCCCATGATGTGTTTTGATAGTGAGAAGAAGTTGGAAGAAGAGATTATATTCTTGCTCTTAAGGACATACTTCTAATGGGAATAGGGCTTGGAAACAGTAGCAGGACCACTAAACACAAGCTGTTCTCCCTGATGCATTTTTGTGGAAGAACACGATTCTGGTAGGAACATCCTGATTATTCTTAGAAAAGAGTGATAGAGTGTGAGTTCTACTGTGGGTGACTAGATATTGGAAGATTTCAACACCCTAGTCAGCCATTCCTAATGATAGAAATTTAATCTTGCTATTGTTTTAATCTTAAATGCTTTCCCTTTAGCTGAGGGTTGGGGAGGTGTTTGCCTGGGTCTCACATAGATGCGGTTGCATGTATATGAGAGCAGATGGGGATTTTCCTTGTGAGAAGGGACATTTTGTAACTGAGGGACTCTTCCTGGGGCTGAGGGTCCAGGGCCCACCTAGTTTATAATGTTGCCATTAATTATTTATATTCTCATTTATTTAGTGGACTTGAAAGCCTCTCTAAATTGAAATGCTGGAAAGAGCTGAAAAAAATGAACTTTCAAATATTCCTTGAATAAGCTCATGGTTATTGACAAATCACTGGGATAAATTGACCAGTGAAAATGGTTCTTGGGCTTTTAATTATATGCTTCTCTGAATATCACCATCACTTCACCTATAATTTTTCTCTGTACACTTGCTTTATCAGCAAGCATTCATCATGATGCCTGGAAACCATAGAATGTCCTTGTTGAGACATTCATGGTTTCTGTAGGAGTAGGAAGATATAAGTAGGGTAGATAGTGGAGTGGGGAAAAGAGTTCCATTTGATTTCATTTATTTGCTCTTACAGTGACAGTGGTATCTTTTTCAGTTATACATGCTGTTGAATCCAGAAGGTGAAATGGGGACAGTGGCAGCCCCATCATAGGTGCACAAAGATGGGCTCACAATTTCTGCACATTTCAGTTTGAGGGACAAATCTAATGAGAAGTATTCTGAATATAAAGAAGAATTATGTTGATGCCTGTAAGTTTGCATTTCTTCATAGAAAAATATTTAATGTTTTCCCTTTTTTATTCTATTTTTAACCTTGAACTCCAGGTAGTAGTTCCCTGATTTCTGTTGGTTTCAACTCAGTTTTTACATGATCTCAGCCAGGCTCACATTGTTGACTTGCCACAGGAGTGTGCTTCTGAGTCTGGTTTCCAAAATGAGACCCATATCCTATATTCTATTCCAATCACTAGTTCATTTTCTCACATTGATTTTTTGAACAAATGTTGACTGAGAATGCTGCTTTGTTTATACCTAAGTGTTACTAAAAAAAAAAGTGGGCCCTGGCCAGGTAGCTCAGTTGGTTAGATCATTGTCCCACTGTGCCAAAGTTGCAGGTTAGATCCTCCATCAGGGCACATACAAGAGTCAGCCAGTGAATGGGTGGACCAACAAATTGATGTTTCTCTCTCTCTCAAGTCAATAAATTTTTAAAAAGTGGTAACTTAGCAAGAACTTCTTCATTACAGAGTTTTTGTTGTTCCTCTTGTTTATCTTTGTCACAGTGTCATGGTGGGCATGGTGGTGACCCTGAGTCCTGGGACCTTACCTGCTATATAGAAGGCTCCCAACCTGGCAGGGTTGGCATCTGCCAAACCTCTTGGACTGTGGGAATCACCTCTGGTTTTCTTTCAGTATGAAAACCCACTTTCCTGAGTTAGGAAATAGCACAACCTTCTCCAGAGAAGGTTGGGTGTGCAGGCTGGGTAGGCTCCTGACCTCCCTCAGAAGTCAGAATGTATATTGAGTCCTGCCGTTGTGGGGGTCCCTGCCTGGGGCATACGTACATAGATTGCTGGCAGGAAAGGTTGGGATTCTTGTAGATGTTTCTAAGCAGGCTGGCTTATTCCTAGTTCAGGAGGTGCAAGCAGTTGCTTTTATTTCAGTATTTTAATTTGCTTCCATATAGACAGTTGTCCAAGTGTCTAGATGTATGACTGTGCTTTTCTGCCTGGGGACCCACTGATGGATTGACCAATCTATTGACCTTTACCATACTTTCTTATATCCATAGCATATGTTACCAAAATTGCAAAAGTTGAAGTTTCTTCCTTGCTATTAGAATATGGCTGATAATTAAAAACTATGATCTCTTCTTTTACCTTTGACACATAAAATATTTCTAATTTCCATCTACAGCAAAACATCTGTTTTGCT